AGAGCAAGAATCTGAAAGAGAATTCTAAAAGCGAGAAGTGCAAGAGAAGAAACTGTTAACATAGAACTTGCGGTTACATCGCACCAATTCAAATGTAAAATGATGAGACCATGTCGCCAATCTAATTCTGCGCTTAAATACATAAAGTTTCGGTACTATAGAGAAAGGCTCATCAGAACAATTATCACGAAAGCATTTATGGAAAAGGCACAGGGAAGCTACGTTACGGTGGTGGTAAAGTGACTGAAATCGTGATGCCAGGTTAGGACCAATAACATTGCAGATTATTCTTTGTATTGTACCAAGTATCTCTAAATATATAGTAAAAGCACAAGATCAGCAATAATCGAAGGATGAGCGAATGGTATAAGTTTGCTGACAATCACATACGAGGGACGTTCGAAAAGTTCTAAGCCTCACTCAGAAAGAAGAACCATAGCTGAATATTTTCTTTAACACTACCACCTCTTATAAAACTAAATTAAAAAAAACTAATTCAGATTTCTGTATTTATTTTTATGTGAGACCCATAAAAACGTAAGATGTCTGACAAATCTAAAAATAGACAAAGCAGAGTCCTAAAGTTCATAAAATATCAACTAAAGAAAGGTGTGACACTCAAGAAAATCCATGGGGACATGGTAATGACACTCACTGATAACGCCCCTTACTATGCAACTGTGAAGAAGTGGGCTGGGGAATTCAAGTGGGGCTGGAACGGCGCAGAAGATGACCCCCGGTCAGGTTGTCCAAAAGCGTCAACCACTGATGAACAAATCGATGTCATTCAGAGTAGGGTTTTGGATGACAAACTTTTTACTGTCCAGCAAATAGTTAAGTCCATAGGTATTAATTCTGGTTCGTTCCATACTGTTTTAACTGAAATCTTGGCGATGAGCAAGCTGTCTGTAAGACAGGTGCCAAGAATGCTGATACCAGAGCAGAAGCTGAAAAGTGTTGACATTTCCAGGACATTTCTGACACGCTTCCAGGCTGACCCTGGGAATTTCCAACTCAGATTAAGACCTGTTGATGGAAACAGGATCCACCACTTCGAACCGGAATCAAAGATTCAAAGCTAACAGTGGAAACACTTTGATTCTGAACTACCAAAGAAAGTTCAAGCAGGCAATGGCTGTTGGAAAATTCTTGGGTCTGTTTTTTATTATTATTATTATTATTATTCTGAAGGTGTCATCATGATAGACTACCTGGAAAAGGGAAAAAAACTATTAATGGACAGGACTATGCATCAGAATTAAGACAACTGAAGGAAACAATCAATTCGAAACACACAGGGAAGCTGAGGGCAGGTGAGCTCTTGCGTCAGGATAACACTTCTGTTCTCACTGCTCAGGTTTCAGTAAGTGAATCAGCCAACTGTGGCTTTGAATTGCTACCCCATCCTCCTTACTCACCAGACTTGGCTCCATATGACATCTTTATGTTTTCTAAACTCAAATCCAACCTGCGTGGTCGCCATTTTGGAAACAATGATGAGATCATATATGTTGTGGAGGGGTTTTTGGAGGACCATGATGCTACCTTCTTTCGTGATGGGATTGCCTCGTTAGACTATATGTGCATTGATGCAAACGGGGACAGTTGTAGCATACCTACGGACGATAATGGGTATGTCCCCATTTATATAAATACAGTAGTAAATACTGTATGTTGGTCTGCAGTTAGAGATTCGTCTGCAGTTGGAGATTCGTCAGCAGCTGTGCTGTTCAAACTCTCTGTCTCCGGACAGAGAGGATCCCCAGGAGAGTCTCGTTTCGGGAAACAGCAACCCGACCCCATTTTCATACGGGGTCTACGGGGAATTTTTGGCCGAGCCTACGGGCTCGAATACCCCCATTAAATTCGGCCTTGTGCCACATATGACCGCATGGAAAGGCTGGTAGATATCCTGCAGTTGGAGATTCGTCTCCAGCTGTTCTGGTCAAACTCTATGCCTCCGGGCAGAGAGGATCCCTAGACGAGGCTATGTCGAAGTGCAGAGTGTCGTTTCGGGAAACAACTACCCGACCCCAGTTTTATAAGGGGTCTACGGGGAATTTTTGGCTGAGTCTACGAGCTTGGATACCACACATTAAATTCGGCCTTGTGCCACATCTGACCGCGTGGAGCGATTGTTAGATACCCTGTAGTTGGAGATTCATTGTGGAATTCACTTGACTCACTTCTAGCAGTTGACTACTACTTCTATGCGCCGCTGGCGAATCTTATACGTGTTGTTCTTGTCCTAAGTGTTATTGTTCATTACCAACCTTCGTTTGATTATTCTATTCAGTAACCTTTCCTAGACTACAGCAGGGACTATATTGAAAAACAGTGAAGAACAGTCTTGTTTCTCCAACGCCTGTGTGTAGTTTAGAATTTTTTGAATGACCCTCGTATTATATTCTCATACAATTAATGTTTAGTCCTTTCTTCTGACTTTCCCTTACTACTAGGAGTTCTTGTATTTTCTTTTCTGTGACTGCTATCAATACTGTCATCTGTATATCTTATATTATTAAGATTGTGTCCGCCAAGAATTACTCTACTGAGATCGTTGGGATAACAGTAAAAATAAACACAAAGAATGAATGAATTAGTTGGAAGAACTTTTGAAATGATAATAACTCTTCTCAAAATTCTTTAAAAAAATGGATGTATATGGATTGTAGATGTAAAGAAGGCTGAAGAATGAATCGGTCGAGACTTTGTTTTAACTACAAAATTAACAATATGTTGTATAGCCTGAATAACTCTTACAATGATAATTACTCTTTTTTTTTCAAAATTATAGAAGGTAATCGCTTCTATAGAATGAGTAAAATTAGGATTATTCGCAATATGAGACCTAATAAAAAAGGTGATTTTTTTGTATTCTTCGAACTGTTACCATTTCCTTTGATTTTTTGCTTGTTCGTTGTTTTGTTGTTGTTTTTGGATTTTTTTTACAGTTTTGAATCTTCGAATTTTGACCTCGCATCCTGAATACGACAGGCTCGAGCCATTTCATAAAAGATCTAAAAGGATTCAATTGTTCTGGTCGAATAGACACTCACTCCTCTCCAATGACCTAACCAGTAATGGCTCAATAGTTAATACACCGTTGATAATCATAGGCTCATCCGTTTGATCCCAAGGAACAGAAAAGCGAATTTCAATAGTCACTGGGCTGTTTCTGTTCAGCGAAATTAACATTGAACACGCGTCTCTATTCATGGAGCACACAGTGAGAAAAGAATTCATTAAATTGATAAACTCTGCTAAATGAAATGTGATTCACACACAGCAACCAGTATATAGCTATCCGAGGGAAGTATTGAAACGTTATCAACCTAACCAAGAAGTAATTTGATTATATGGACACATAGTGGGGAAATGGCTTGTCGTGTTGATGGATTTTATGAACAAATCAGTATTTTTATTATACTAGTATCTATAGGTAGGCATTAAACCTGTTTATACTTGTGTCTATAAAATTGTTTGTGTTTTTACTTGAGTCTATACTCAAACATTGATTGTTCTTGAACTTTAGTCTGTAGATAAACATTACATGCGTTTATACTTGAGTCTATACTTAAGTATCAGTTGTATTTATTCTTGAGACTATAGTTATCGCGTTTATAATTATGTATATAAGTAGATATTAATTGTATTTGTCTATAACTACATATCGGTTGTTATTATGTTTAACTCCAAGTTAAACATTGGTCATATATATATATATATATATATATATATATATATATATATATATATATATATATTAAGTCTATATTTGAGTCTACAAGTAAACATTGATTGTGTTTATACTTGAGTCTATAGGAAAATATTAAGTCTATATTTGAGTCTACAAGTAAACATTTGCTGTATTTATACTTGAGTCTATAGCCAAAAATTGTTTTTATTTATACTTGAATCTATAAGTCAACATTAGTTGCAAGTATCCATCTAGTAGATGACCACTTCTGGGGAGTACTTACAACCTCAGTAGGAATGCAGTCGACATATTCTAGAAGCACCTGACAGGTTAATTGAGGAAATGAATCGCACCTTGTACATTTCTGAACCCCCCCCCATATACACACACCTTTTATATTGCATACATTGCTCGATGAACTCTCAAAGTGGTAAAGGTTTGATATTATTGAACAACAATAACTCTAGCTCAAGGCCAGAATGATAGAGCATTTAGTGAAGCACACACACGCATGCACGCACGCACACATACAAACACACACACATATACGCACACACACACACGCACACACACTGACAACGTATTGTGAATAAATAAAGAGAGCTATAATAGCCGCCTATTAAAAGAATGACAAAAAAAACGTTTCACGGTCTACAGAGAACATTTTGGTAAATTTACGAGCTATAAAAACTGAAAAAGTGCATTTTGTACACTATATTTTGCAATTACTCATAATTGTTATGTCTGGACGAATGGACATTGTCCATTTCCTTGAATCAAATAATTTGCTGACAATGAAAATGGAACAGATGCATGATGGGAAATGAAGTGTTGCTATGAATGTCGAGAAAGAGAAATCAGAGGAAAACGAATGGGCTCGTCTCATGTTATTAATAACGTATAGGATGAAAATGATAATGTTTTATTTGTGTTATCAATTTTTGTTCTTCTTACGCGTGATTATTATTAAAACTATTGTTTTAGGACGGCACTTTGCTTGGGTAATATATTTTTCTCTCATGACCTTCGGTTGACTTCTAGATTTCTCTCTCCCCACTCACTTCTTCTCTCCCACCCTCTCACGAATCAGCCTCTTTATCGTCATCTTCGTCTCCCTCTCTTGTCTCTCTCCATCATTCCCTCTACCTCTCTCATCACTCGGCTCTTTTATTTTCCAATTTCTCTCCCTCCCTTTTATCTCATCATCTGAATATCTTTCGCTCTATTTCTCATTCTCTCAAGCCCCCACTCACACCCATCGGCCATTTTTTTTTTTTTTTTTTTACTTCTCTCTTCTGGCTTACGGTCATATCACGTTGAAACACCGGTTCTTGTCCGATCACCGAAGTTAAGCAACGTCGAGCCTGACTAGTACCTAGACGAGTGACCGGTTGGGAATACCGAGTGCTCTAATTTGATTTAATTGATAGCGGTTCGGAATTGGAAATCAGAGAACCGGGTTCCAGTTCTAGTCGGTTTCGTTTTATTCAATTACACGCAAATGTTCTTGGAAAAGGTATGAATCCGCCTCTTCTCCCCCCCCCAGCTACTGATTAAATAGTAAGACCTGTATCAGTAAATTATTATCTCAAAAAAGATTCTTACAATCCACAAATATTTTCTGACTTTAAATAACCTGCAAAAGGTTGAGAAGTCGTAAAAAACAATCAACCAATCAATCGATCCTCTCTTTTTACCCTCTCTCTCTCTCTTCTTCTTCTTCTTCTCTATCTTTCATCATTTAGCCATTTTATCTTTATTTTTCTCTTCCTCCCTTTCCTCTCATCATTTTGACTCGACATATTCCTCTCCCAACTATTGTCTCTTTTTTTCTCTTTTTTTCTCTTTTTCTCTCTTTTTCTCACTCCCATCATTCAGCTTTTTTATATTTATATTTCACTCCCCTTCATTTCTCTCACCATTTTACCTCTCTTTCCTTCTCTCTCTCTCTCTCTGCTTTTCTCTTTCTATGTCTCTCTCATTCTCTTTATCTTTCTCTCTCTCTCTCTCTCTCTCTCTCTCTCTCTCTCTCTCTCTCGACCATCATTCATCCTGGACACTTGTACAACTTCATTTTATTCAATTTTATGTATATTCGCCTTTATTTGCAATGATAGGTTGCCATTTATCAGGCAGTTCTTCAGGGGCATTCGGTATGACTATAAACTACAACCGGTAGCAAGGCCTCTGTTTGGGAGATTGGCGATTTTTAGGAGTCTAGGACCATCTCTTAATTGCTGTCGTTTCCACTTCCACCCTGACCCGGGGTGGTAGCACCTGTTAGGATCCTATCTATGTGCAAAAAGTGAACACCCAATCAAAAAGAAAATACTATGGAAGTATAAAAATACATTTTTATAGTAAATATACCAGCAATACATTTTTATATAAAAATGACCAACAATATACATTTATGGTAAAATGACGAACAATATATATTTAAAATAAAATTATCAAAAATACATTTTTAAACCAAAATGACCAGCAGTACATTTTATAGAATTACCAACAATACATTTCATCTGTTGCTGAAGGCGTACAATTGGCTCAAAAAATTACATATTTATATAAAAAAAAAAATTATCAACGATACATATTCATAGTAAAATTACCAGCAATTCATATTGAAAGTAAAATGGAGAAAGTTGGCTTGTAACATTCAATGCCTCAAAGAATAAGCTGGTAATGTTCCATCATCACCGAGCTGATCTCTTCTCTGGCCTAGCTTTAACAGCTCAAAGGAGAAAATTGGCCTGTCACATTCAATCCCTCAAAAAATAAACTGGTGACGTTCCATCACCACCGAGCTGATCTCTTCTCTGGCCTAGCTTTAACAGCTCAGTGGAAAAATTGACTGGTCACATTCAATGCCTCGAAAAATAAACTGATTAAGTTCCATCATCAGCGACCTCTCAGGGATGCCCTCTGTCTTGAGCGCCTCTTGGGACTTATGCTCAACCGAGAACTCAAGTGGAATTTGTACACACAATCTATCACTAAAGATACTGGAAAAAATTGGTCGGTTCCCTATACTGCACCAGCAAGTACCTCGCTCCTCCTGTTATACTATAAATTTAGAAGTGTTAGATCAGTCCTAAAATGGAGCACCGCTGTCATATATGGACAGGAGCTGTACAGTCTTCCTCTTCCACTCTTGATAGTGTTCAAAAGCGTCTCAGCGTCGTTATGAGTGATGGATTATTTTCCATCCTACAACGCTTTTCACACAGATGAATCATTTCAAGTCCCTCACTGCTATATCGCTATTTCCATGGTAAGTATTCAATATACTCTAAACTTCACGACTAAGACCAGCCATTGTAGCAAACCACTTTTGTATTCCATTGGTGAGATTTAAGTTCTACTTAAGTAGCTTCTTCACACGAACCGCTTCTTTGTGGACCCTACTTTCAAGAGGATGCTTCCCCAAACACTACAATCTTAACCTGTTCAGGTCTAGATTTACCAGTTATCTTCCCCACATATCTGCATAAACTGTATCTCTTACTCTCGAAGGTCCCACCACACGTACAAAATTATCTCTATAACACGGAGCTCAGTTTTGCGGGGATCTATTGTAGAGATTTATCCGCTTCAATACACAGCCTTTTACGCTGAACATTTTCATATGTTAGTGTGCTTCCAAGTCTATTCCTAACTGCCACATATGATTAATAGTTAGCCTTATACATTCGTCATTACAACTGGTATTAAAAACAGTAATTACAACCAAATCTATCAATCACTCTATCTATCTATCTATCTATCTATCTATCTATCTATCTATCTATCTATCTATCTATCTATCTATGCGTTATATGTTAGCGTGCGCCATTTAACTGCCACATAGGATTGATAGTTCATGGTACATTCATCATTACAATTGGTTCCAAAAAACGGAAATTACTTATGAATCAACCTAACAAAGATGAAAAACGAATTTTGTTGCATATTTATTTCGGCATATATACCTTTGTTTGAACAGTCAAACACAAATATTCGTAAGATCAATAATCATACTAATGAACATATCCGACCATGAGTCGACATAGATTTTTTCATCATTCAGTAAGGGAATATAGCCAAAAAGACACAAAGAATATAAGGAAAAGAAAACATTATTAAAAGACGGGAACAACAAAAGAACAAGAGGACAGAAGATAACGATTGGCATTGCATTTCTTGAAAGACTATTGAGCCTCAAACTCACACCTGGCCACATGTGGTGTTGGAATATTTGGGTACCCTGGTGTACTAGTGAGCTAGCCAAAATGAGCTGACTCATTTTATAGTCCACCAAGAGAAGGATTAACCAATCAGAAAGTTCAAAATATTCAATCCGACGTGACAGCCATTTTGTTTTTTCTCCAAAAATATCTTCACTGCCAACCTCTGATATCGAAGACCAGCTGATTACAGAACAGCTGCTACTAGTGATATTGGCGTTGTTCCATTGAACACATTACATACTGCACTGGATTCTATATTCAAAGACTACGGCAAACATGATCAACATGTGGAACTCGTACATACGAACTATTGCTAAGGATGCAGATAAAATGGTCGCCTCTCTCTCTGTGTACCGCTTCATTAAGTACCTCACTTCTCTTGGTATCCTCTACCTTTACAAGAGCCAAGATCAGACCAAAGACGGAGCAATGTTGTCGTATTTGTGGAGCCCAGACCTCACTCTCCAGCCTTGATAGAATCCAAAAGCGTCTCTGAGCTCTTGTGGATGACGAATTATTCTCCACCATCCAACCTCTCTCTCATATGCGGGATGTAACAAGCGACCTGCTGCTCTATCACTACATTTATGGAAAGTGCTCGGAAGAACTACATTCACTTTTCCCGCCTGTTCAAACCTTTATGGCAATAGTAGAAAACACACACACATTCCCTCCGTATTCCATCGGTGAGATAGTAGTTCCACTCGAACAGTCTCTTACCGCGAATCACTGCTCTGTGGAACAGACTCCCAAGTGGATATTTCCTCGGTCACTGCAATCTTAACCTATTCAAATCTAGGGTTAACCGTTATCTTCCCCTCCTATACGCAAAAATTGCCTCCTAACCTTGAGGATGAACCTTACTATAAATAAAAAACTTCAGATCAAAGTTGAATAGAAAGCAAGGAGCCAGAAAAGAGTTCCACAAGCTAGAATGCGATAGAAGAAACTGCTAGCATAGAACTTACGGTTACCTCTAATGAATTCAACTGTAAAATGGTGAGACCTTGCACATATCTGATCAGTCAGTCAGTTATTTCGCCATGCGTGATACACGAATAGGTGATCATGCAACTTTCGATACATGACTGACGAGGCAGATTTTTCCCGCAGTAGTTACCATTTCGTTCTGCGGTTGCCATCCAAGGCTCTGCGGTTGCCATCCAAGACTCTAGAACTCGACCTGTCCTTCTATTTACCCATAGCTAGGAAGAGAAGAAGAGGATTCATACCTTTCCCAGGGTATGATGTGTAAATGTAACGGATTCGAATGGAATTCGAACTCGGCTCTCCGATTTCTCAATCCGAGCCGCTAGTACTACGCTTAAATTCATGAAGTCCAGGTACTATAGAGGAAAGTTCATAGGAGCAATTACCATGAAACTATTTATAGAAAGTCCACAGGGAAGCTACATTAGGCGATGAGAAAAGTGACTGAAGCCGAGATGCCTGGCTATGACTTCTTTGGATTTTATCAAAGATCTCTAAATATATAGCAGGAGCACCAGACCACATGTGGCAGCAATAGCCAAAGCATAGACGATTTGTAGACTTATAAATATGTAAGATAGATTCGAGCTAGAAAATTTTTCTAGAACGACACAGTGAACCAATTTTCACAGCAGCAGACCTAACAATTGATTCAATATAATCTTTCTACTTCTTTTTTGCATTTTTGTAAATATATTATGGTAACTAATAATTCCACGGTGATAATGGAAATGGTAATATTAGCTGTTACCTTATAAGGAAATATTCAGCATTCATTGATAGAGAAACCATTACTATTTTCGGTCGAAATTTATAAAATCTTTCTATTAAAACAATTTTTCACGAAAATAGGTATCTCAGGTCCAGTAGTTGTTATAGATCTTTCCAGTACTGATAGAGGATTTTTCCTAACTTTTTATTTGAAGTAATATGGAATGTCAACATCTTCATTTTGTCATTATTTTTGTCCTTATTACATGTACTATCTTTAAACTCCAAGAAAGCAACATACTGCGACTTCTTGACCTCAAATTTTCCACTGATTTGAAGTGGAGCGACTACATCGAATCAGTAGCTGCATCTACTGCAAGGAAACTTTTGTCACGGTATCGAGCAAGAAAATCTTTCTCGTCAAAATCCATCTTGCACATTTACAAATCAAATATTCGTCCAAGCACTGAATGCCATTA